TTAAAACGCTGCTATAGTTGGACTTCATAGTATGAAAGACATTAAAGACTGTTGTTTTGGTATCTAATTATTGGTGATACTCATTTTATAAATTGTTCAAATTGATTTATGAGTCAATTAGATGCAAATATACAAACTTAATGAACCGATCTGGCAACTTTTGCAGTAAATGACTTTTACATGCTGCAGTAAAATGACCTGTTCTTTGGTTTGTGCATAGTGTGACAGACACTGAAGCAATATCTGTTTTTGTGAACATATGTATGAAATTATTGTTTTAGAATGTGATGAATTTGCAGGTGTGCTCACCATGTGGAATAATTGTTTTAGCGCCCCCTATTATCGTATGCCCACTAAACTTTGCACCTTGTTTCAATGTTAGGCATTGAGCAGGTGTACCAAGTTTGGTGTCAATCGGACAATGCCTTATTGTCATAGCACTACTGTCATGAAAATAGATATAAATCACGATGTTCGATTACTGGTACAGTTTAGTCAAACAAAGAAGAGGAATAAGAAAAATCCGGTTACACTTTTTTTGACTCTGGGTTCCTCTCAATGGTTCTTCCTCATGCTTTTAGGGATCTTCTCCTTTTGAGTCTGGATTCCTTTCAGTGGTTCTTCCTGTTCATAAGGCTACATGACACCTACATAAGCTTGTCATGATAACTGACATAACTCTACATAAATGTTTATAAATACTTATTCTAGGTTATGTTTGCCAATTGTCATCAAAGTTTGCTAAAGTAGCCTTTATGACAGATGACACCTGTTGGAATAAGCATTTATAAACAGTTATGTAGGGTTATGTCAGCTGTCACTGCAAGCTTATGTAGTTGTTATGTAGCCTTATGAACAGTACCTTACAGTAAAGCGTTACCAAAAATTACAATAGGGTTCCAGCACTTTGTGCTTGGACCCCTAATAATATTAATATTAATAATAATGCTACTACAACTAAAAATAATGATAATAATAAAAACAATAATTGATTGTCTGTATCAGCCAAACATTCTGCTCTTCCAAAGTATAATTAATGTCACTTTATCAAAAATCAGTTTGAAATATCTCATGTCTGATGCCAATTATGTTTTTTAAGCAGTTATTTGTCAATATAGCTGTTATTCTGATATCACTGTGCACCCCTAAAAATAATAATGGGTTATAATTAATAATAATACATTCATGTACTATCTGTCTCATAAACAGGATTGCTTTACAGTCAGGATGTTATAACTTATGAAGGTCAAAGGTATCAGGTATTATCACATACCAGGAAACTGTTATTCAAGAACATATTGTACATGCGACTGATTCACGTGGTCATTTGCAAAAAGAACATTCAAGTCATTGGGACAGTTCCTCATTCGGAGAGACAGGCTGTTCAGGCTGTACCTGCTGCTGGTGCCGCAGGCTGCTTTGCATGCATGATTGGTTGCCATGGTTGTGGCAAAAAACCACCATCGACCACTGTTACCCAGAGTAGCATCATCATCTGTAATGAGGAAACTTTCATCATCACTGTGACTGAACCGCCAAGCATAGAGGAGCATGAGATCCTGTCAGCGGTCCTTCCTCATGGGAGGTTCTCCTTTTGAGTCTTGGTTTGTCTTAGTGGTTCCACCTCGTGCTCTTAGGCAGGTTCTCCTTTTGAGTCTTAGTTTGTCTTAGTGGTTCCACCTCGTGCTCTTATGGAGTTTCTTCTTTTGAGCCTTGGTTCCTCTGAGTGGTTCCACTTCATGCTCTTGGGGAGGTTCTCCTTTTGAGTCTTGGTTCCTCTCAGTGGTTCCACTTCATGCTCTTGGGGAGGTTCTCCTTTTGAGTCTTGGTTCCTCTCAGTGGTTCCACCTCATGCTCTTATGGAGTTTCTTCTTTTGAGCCTTGGTTCCTCTCAGTGGTTCCACCTCATGCTCTTAGGGAGGTTCTCCTTTTGAGTCTTGGTTTCTCTCAATGGTTCTTCTTCATGCTTTTAGGGAGGTTCTATTTTTGAGTCTTGGTTTCTCTCACCGGTTCTTCCTCATGTTGTTAGGGAGGTTCTCCTTTTGACTCTGGGTTCCTCTCAGTGGTTCTTCCTCACGCTCTTAGGGACGTTCTCCTTTTGAGTCTGGGTTCCTCTCAGTGGTTCTTCCTCATGCTTTTAGGGAGGTTCTTCTTTTGAGCCTTGGTTCCTCTCAGTGGTTCTTCCTCACGGTCTTAGGGATGTTCTCCTTTTGAGTCTTGGTTCCTCTCAGTGGTTCTTCCTCATGCTTTTAGGGACGTTCTCCTTTTGAGTCTGGGTTCCTCTCAGTGGTTCTTCCTCATGCTTTTAGGGACGTTCTCCTTTTGAGTCTGGGTTCCTCTCAGTGGTTCTTCCTCATGCTTTTAGGGAGGTTCTTCTTTTGAGCCTTGGTTCCTCTCAGTGGTTCTTCCTCACGGTCTTAGGGATGTTCTCCTTTTGAGTCTTGGTTCCTCTCAGTGGTTCTTCCTAATGCTTTAGGGAGGTTCTTCTTTTGAGTCTGGGTTCCTCTCAGTGGTTCTTCCAAACAGTTTCTCCAAGTGTTTTTTTACTATATTGCAAAGCGGTCCTAAAGTGTAGTAATGTAGTAAGAGTGTGATATTTTGTCTGTCTTTATGATATTTAATTTGAATTGAATGAAGAATTAAGTAGTGCTTGGTTGGTATTAGAGTTCGTATTTGATCTTTTGGGTTGGGTGTTTGTCTCTTATGTGTAGCTGGCTTGGCGTAGCCTAAAATAACCAGATCGAATCCGTGTGAAATGAGAAATCACGAGACGTTACACTGTTTCCTAAAGAAATGTAATGGAATCATCGCCGAATCGCTTGGCGTCAGCTTTTTTAAACGCTATTAAAAAAAGGTTTGTTTTTCCCGTCGCTCTGTGGGTCGGGCCGCCCACAGCGGCAGCGCTGCCAGCATCTCTGACGTTCTGAGTTGTTTTTGTTTTGTTCTGGTTCGATTGGTCTGCTAAATGAGACAAACCTTTCATTTTATCCAACAAAAAGTGGAAAATGGCCTGAGGGGCATCACTCGGCTTTTGGCTTTGTTGACCTGCTTATCAGCAGCTGCCCCCTTTTTCCGCCCAGTTAGAGCTGATACGAACACCTTTTGTGGATGAGTGAAGCTTTTTCACTCTGGCCTGTGAAGCCCCGTCACTTAATGCAGTCTGTGGTTAAAGTTGGGAGATATGAGGAGATAACATCGCAGTGCTTGAAGATATTTTCACGAGAGATGATGTGTATCATGATATTTCAAGTGAACAAGTTGGATCTGTCAAAACGCACCAGAAAAACAGAGTAGTCCCACTTTTAGAAAGGATTTGAAATCTATGTTTTGTGAGGTAATTGAGCACTACTTTTATTGATTTGGGTTCATTGTAGTTTCAATAATTTGCATAATCTTCATGTTCTTATTGTTTTTTGGGTTTTTTTTGTTTTTTTTTCTCTCCTTCTATAACAATGTTGTCTTCTAAATGGTATGATGGGGCGAATGCCTAACCTCTTATTCTCCAGGGTATATTTTGGTTTGTCCATCTGAATTTACATGACCAAATCGTAAGGCAAATTATTCAGTAACTTCATGAAATAAATGCATTTTTTTATTTTATTTATTTTTTGTAAACGCTCCCTTCAAATTAACAGAGCATGTGTTTATGATCACACATGTTGTTATATGCTGAAAAATTTACTGCTGAAAGCCAAAAATCTTAGACGCTCTTTGTATTATTTTAGAAAAATAATGTTTACAGAGCAGATCACTGAAGAGACGCCATCTGTTTATAGTTTATAGCCCAGATTTGTGGAAAAATGGGTCGACTTTCAGTAGAAAAAAAAACTGAGTTCAGCTTCTTTTATTATAAGGGTTTAAAATTACATCACCCATCTATTTGACTGGAAAGAAGACAGTTACAGCTCTCATACGACCCCCACCTTTTGAATGTAGCTTATGAAATATGAAAGTTATGAAGAATATTTTTGTTTCTTCGAGAGCAGAGATAAAGTTGCTGATACTCATCTGTGCGGAGTGCGATCGTTCAGCTGAGCTGGAGCTGGCTGCTAGTTCTCGTTTGAAGTTCATTTGAAGGCCTCGGTATCTGAGTGATGTTTTTCTCGTGAGATAGTGAGCGACCTTATCAGAAGAGCGAAAGATTATGGCAGGTATGACTCAGCTGTCCCTCAACAGAGGCCTGATAGTCATGCTTACACTGTAGACAACAATCTGTGTGGTATCAAAAGTTTGTGAACAAACAATATTTTCTTTTGATGTGATAAACAAAATACCGTGATGGCAACATGACAACAGTTGATCTGTCTACCCCCGATAAGCTTTCATAGCAGCTTTCGCTATGAAAGTTGAAATATTAGGTTGAATAGGATTTTTACCAATGAGAAACTGTAGAACAGACTCAGTTTACACCACAATACCTACATTTAGAGTCGGTTATTCATTCAGCCTAATGAGAAACTGTAGAACAGACTCAGTTTATATCACAATACCTACATTTAGAGTCAGTTATTCATTCAGCCTAATGAGAAACTGTAGAACAGACTCAGTTTATACCACAATACCTACATTTAGAGTCAGTTATTCATTCAGCCTAATGAGAAACTGTAGAACAGACTCAGTTTATACCACAATACCTACATTTAGAGCCAAATCGTGTGATTCTGCAGAGCTGATTGGCTGTCCAGCAGCAAGACCCAAACAATACTCAACCTGTTCTCTAAAGCTTTTCCAACCTGACTGTAACATTTAGAGTACAGCAACAGGTGATACAGAAGAACGAGTTTGTGGGCGGAGTCTGGATAGACCAGTTTGTACATTCTGATCCAGTGTCCGGTGTCAAGCCCTGATTTGTTAACAGAGTGTCCCGCAGCTGATTGACATCGTAATCCTGTTTTTGTGAAATACCTGGATGGACCGTGGCTCGGGCTGTTTGCTGGGCACACGTGGCTGAACTGGTTTTGGTGTTGAAAGCTTTAACCCTCTTTGTTTTACCTTTGCAGACTGTGCTGTGAACGTCCACAAAAGCTGCAAGAATCTTCTACCCGAGTGCAGCAACAGTAAGAACAAGGTAAGGCCTTGGAATCTGTACCAACCTAAATCCCTCATGTAAGGAGTGAAGACACTTAGATGGTTCATTTTAGAATTGAATTTGATTCATTCAGTTTGATTTTGAATAAATTCTACAATGATTACATTCATAAAGGATGAATTCACTAATATTGTTCAGATCTCTTTAAAAAGATCTTAACCTTAGGTTGTTTTCACGTTTGTCCCGAATACTTGAGTCCGCGCCGAGGACCTGTTCTGGGCTCGTTTTGGGGAGCAGCTCATTATCGCGGTTGTGCTTTTGGTTCTATATAGAACGACGAACACTCAAGGAGCCCTTTGCATTCCTAAAGGGTTCTTCAGATTGATAGAATATGGTTCTCTATAGAACATTTTTTGAAAAGGGTTCTGTATACCATCAAAAGGGTTCTTCTATTGTTACAACCCTTTCTGGTGCAATATAGAACCCTTTTCAAAAAAGTTCTATGTAGTACCATCTACACCACATTCTCCGTCTATTTAAAGAACGCTGTAACGATGCAAAGGGTTCTTTGAGTGTTCATGGTTCTATATAGAACAATTTTCTTTACTAAAGAATAATTTTTAAGAGTGTACACGACTCATCACCATCAAAGGGTTCTTCAGATTGAAGGAGAATATGGTTCTCTATAGAACCTTTTTGAAAAGGGTTCTGTATACCACCAAAATGGTTTCTTCTATTGTTACAGGCTTGACATTGTAACAATAGAAGAACCCTTTTTGGTGCGATATAGAACCCTTTTCAGAAAGGTTCTTTATAGTGCCATCTTTATTTCCGTTTATAGTGCTGTTTTATTTCGTTGTGAACGTGAACACTAGACCATAAGACCAAAAGAGGGGACGACACACAACGAGTTTTGGCTACGAAAAGCACTGCGTTATCACTGTATACAAACAGAGCTGAACTGATTTGTGCTTTTATGTACAAACAAAAAGCAAAAGTCCAAACTGGGGATGAAAATGAGATTGAAACAGATAAAACGATCAGAGCTGGAGGAATATTTTCCTATGAGCTGACAGCTCTAGCAATTTGGATTCGCTCGAAAGAGGCCCCGAATATTCTGCTGTAACTCCCGTTATGATGAAGCAATCTGAACCAAAAAAATACACTACATATCTTGACGTGTGTGTAATCAATTGCATTACATGCGATGCTGGAAGTGATCTCCGTTTTATGCCGGACACATGAAAGGGTACGGGAATATGCACCCGGAAGTTACAAACAAAGGTTAAACGTCGCGATGGCTGTCCGGCGCCTACCTCATCACTCCGACTCAGGGGCACCCGGCTTGTTCAAAGTTCCAAATACTGAGGAGCTCATTGCGCGTTGTTTCGTTCAGATCGCTTCGTCCTAGCAAGAGATATTACAGAATTTTCGGGGCCTCTTTCAAGTGAATCTCCCTGTAGTGAAGCATCTGTGTGGAAAACGCCCCAGAACGATGTAGATTTGTTGAAAATTGCAATCCAGATGGTCACTAAAGCACTTTTTTCTCTCGACAGACAAAAGATTTTGCACAGAAGACCACTGGGGTCGTCCAGTCACATAATCTCAGTAAGTTTAAAACCCTTCCCAGTAGCATATATAGTTTCTGAATGTTTGTGAAGTGTTTTTAATAACATCAGTATGTTTTGATCTGAACAAGTTAAAATGCAGGCTTATTGCTGATTCTTAAAGAGGAATTCCAGTGATTTTCTCAAAAACTGTTCAGAGTGGTTTGTTGTGAAATGGTTCATTTACCCTGATTTCTTTACAGTGGTGGTGATAGGAACCAGGGGTCGCCATGACTACAACACAAATATAGACATTTTATTTACTATCCAGAACCACCAGTGAACCTACACAAGTCTTCTGAGTTTATATGGAATGTTGATGATGGGAAAATTGTGGAAAATCTGAAATAATTTTTTTTGGGGGACTATATTGCCTCACAGCATACTGCATGTATCCCTCCACCATAAATGGATTTTAAGGTACATTTTAGGGTTTATCATAAAACAATGTCTCAGGCAGTGAATTCATAACCATTTCATGTAGTAACTTTCTGTGAGGGAGCTTTTAGAGGTGGACGTCTGGTTCCTATCACCACCACTGTGAACAGTGCTGACTTGGTAAGTTTCTCTAGAACAGAGCGTTTCACACCAAACCGCTCTGAACGACTCTAAATGACTGTTTACATCTTACGTAATCTGGGTTCATGAAATCTACACAGCTGACAGTGCTAGACACCACTTATCATTATGCAAATGAATAAAGTTAATGAAAGCCTCCACTCATTGTTATGCAAGTAACATCATGGTAATTGGGTGTTACTCACTCCCGTTCATTGTTAGTAACTAACATTGGTCCAGGCTCAAATCGCCGCCTCAATTTGTAGCATTTATTTTTTATATATTGTTTAATATCCATATATTAATTTTACTTTTTAATGATTTGAATCTGTCTTTTTAAATGCTGTTGTGTTTTTTGCCCTGTAGAGTGTTTATTTTCTTTTTTCCTTCATTTTGGAGCCTGGCAGGTCAGCTAGTCCATGGCTCCTGTGAGGATGAGGACAATTATCGGCTGCTTGTTTTCCTCTCCTCTCCTGTGTGCGCTAATTCTATTTAATGGATGCCCTGCCTGCGCGCGTCTGCCGAGGTCCAGCTCGATCCCCTGACAGCAAATTAAGGCGAACTCACTGTTATTCTGTCCACCTCATCTGGACAGATTGCAGAGAGAAGCTGATTGTGCAGAAGTAGGGATGCTCATTAAGCTGAAAATATGATGAGGATTTGTGAGAATCTGGATGGACCCTCAGAATGACACAAGATTAGCATGAACCCATTAGTGCAGCATTTTTTTTCTTATGCTGTTTGTTTTTTTATTAGAGTTTAAAGCGCCAGCAGTTTATTGACTGTTTTTGAACAGTCTGTTTGTCCATAATATCAGTACCAAATGTGTTAGATAGGTGAATGGCAGGACAAATCCAGTGCAATTCCAGTGCATGTCCAGTGCAAGTATTACAGGGCTAGATATGATCTCTCGACGAAAACGTCTGGGGACAACTGGGAGAATTTCTGGGCTCAATGTTGGTGGGAATGTTAGGGTGGGAACTGAGTGTGAAATGTATAAACCATCCAATGCCTCGTAAAGGTGGTGCTCAAAATGGGGGGTGACGTCGCGCTTGTCAGCTCTTGGATGTATTATAAGTTACCACGGCCACAAAAACCCCCTCAACAAACTCCAGATAAGCATGTAGATGTGAGCCACATACATATACATATTATATTTTTTTATATTTATACTATATTTTTTTTTCCTTTGGCTGTTCAGATTATCTTTTAAATGTGATCTGCATGCGACATCAGTCTGAACAGATCAGCTCCTAAACTGACCCGCATGCGCGAAAGATCAGAGCGTCACGCTGCTTCACAGCTCATCCAGAGGTAAACAATCACGACCGCCAACGAACGCCAGTCGCTCCCGGAGGATCAGCTTCATCTTCACCAGCATCACAGGAGCCATCATGAAGCTTCACTGACTAACAGCTGGGCTCATCACCCAGAATGTGTTCTAGCTCATCGTAAAAAAAGGGAGCGGTCACTTCTTTGGTTCACGTCCTCAGATTCTTTAAACTTTGCTTTCAGACTTTTAACTGTTCCTTGACGCTGCAGCCTCGTTCTCCTATGGCATTTCTTTAGAAATTCCTTAGAGCACGGCGGGGTTGGATAAGTGTCCTCTAAGTTTTTGTACAGAAACATCAGTCTCAATGTTTGAGTCTCAGCAGCGCGAAATTATAACGAATGTCGAGTTGGATTGATGTAAAAGTCGCATAAATTCCGATCTGGTTGTTCAGACTGAGTCGCATTGCCGCATATCGGATACGTATCGGATTATATGAAAGCGTTTCAGATCAGAATTGCAAATGTCTGATTCAGAGTGTGTTTTACTGTTTACATTGCCACACAGACACACATCTGTGTCACATATGAGGAAAAAGATTGGATTTGGGCCACTTTTACCTGCTGTGTGAACGTAGCCTGAGAGAGAGTGTATCATCCTTCTCAGTTTCACGGTAATCCTGCACCAAAAGTTTACTAAGTTGTTCTGAGGCGTGTATTCTTACACGATTACATTTGGCATTGCAAGGCTAGACCAGTGCTAGTTCAGTGCTAGAAGATTTTTAGATTTTTTTAGGACTTTTCCAGTAAAAACACCCACCGCTAGCCCACTAATTGTGCATTCCTTAGTATTTTGTAGATAGTTTAGCATTTTAGCTGTGCTTTTAACATTGTGCATTATATGGAGCCCATGGGTGTCATAATGAACCACACATAAACATTACTCAGCACTTTGGTTTTCGATGAAAATCGAAAATAATATGTTGAACAAAATGTGACGCCGCAAACATCTTTGCACTTCCCTATGCACTGTTATTAGAGTTGTACAAATATATAGACTTTTAATAATCATGAATAATTTTTTAATTTGCTGCTTTCATTGTCACGATGAGCAGCTTCCAAAGATATTTCTCCTCCGTCACTGATTCAGAGCTGTTGGCTGTAGAAAGCTGCTGTCATCACTGCCGCTCTGGTTCCTTTTTAGATCTTCTAGAAGCTTTACGAAACGTCTCAAGTTGAGCATCTTTTAAAAAAGTTAAAGTTAGTTAAAGCTCAACTTTTTTCCCCTCTGTGTATTTATCTCACAGCGCTGCTCACAGTCTCAGTGCAGCGTAATAGGGTTTTCATCTGTCTCCTTGACTCCTGTGGATCCAGACTACTCCAGTATTTTCCCTCTGCAGGAGTTTCTGGTGCTTTCTCTGGATGAGCTTGTTAATTCCCTCCCACCGTGACCGCAAGAGAGGTGGGAATTGGTTTAGAAGCAGAGGGTGATATTAGTCTTCTTTTTTTTTCTACTCTGGAAGCTTCATCTAGAAGCTTCTGTGTTTGTGCATTGCAAATATTGCAGATCTCATGCACATTGTTGCAGAACATGCCGGAATAATTAGTGATTAGCATGTTCTACATGTTAGGATCCACTTAGGGTTGCACAATGTTTTGTTTGTTAACTGTTATTGCAGCATTGCTCTTTACAATACTGCTGTTATGGAAGGCTGCAACATGCAAAGGAGCCTCTAACCAGTCGCAGTGTGGTTTACTACATGCTGTGAGCATCCTGACCAATCACAGCTCCCAGTGAGTTTCTGTGGGTGTTGTAGTGAATCAAAGTATTCATGTAATCCAACAGAAGCAAATTATTTTGGTCAACATTATGCAAGACAACTTTGCACCATCATATTGATTCTGTTGTTAGTTACTAATTAAAATCAAAACATGTTGCAGCTGCAGTACGTAGCACTGTAATCGGAATACTACTCTTTTATCTGTCATGCAGCCCCAGACCACAGCTAATGACTGTGGTGAAAATCTGTTTCCTCTCTCTCTTTACATAACTACAGTCAAATGGAAAATTTTGGCAAATGGCATGTTTTGTTGATTTACTTGAAATAATGAAATAAGTGAACACGTTCTTTACAGAGAACACGCTCCTGCACATGCTAATTTAACATACTTCATGCAAGGACATGAAAGCAGACGTTTTGAGCTACACAGACGGGGTTTCATGCATAGTTGCGTTGGAAAATGTGTCACGACGCACTTCATAACGCACGGCAAGCGCGAGCTGCAATCTGAGCGTTACAGCAAGGGGCGCTATAACGACAGCCAAGCCTGACCAAACGGTCTTGTACGGCTTTTTTGTGTGCTTTCTCAACTGCCATAGCAGACGAGTTGAGTCTGATGCAAAGTTGACTTACATAAACATAAAAATATCAAATCACATTTCCATTCCAAGAGAAGAGGTGAAGCGGCTCACTCTCCTTTACTGTCCACGTTTAGCTGTTGAGGCTGCTGGAATAGCAGTAGATCCCTCTCTGATCTGTCCTCTTGCGCCCCCTTCAGTACTGAGTGCTTTATCCACCACAGCAACGTATGAACGTGCGGTGAGTTTGTACAGAAGGACTGAGCGTTTGTAGTGCGTTGGCTGAGCGCTGTCGTCTGTGTTCGTAGGTTTCGGGCCTTACTGTTTATCTGCTTAGTTTAACATAGGAAAAATAATAAAAAACATAAACTGTGGCCTCTGTAAAAGTGGCACCTTGTTTTATGCGAAGACAGAAAAATGTGCACTAAAATTAGCAGGAAAATATCATTAAGTGTGTAAGTAGAGTATGTTCTCTGTAGAGAATGTGGTGTTTTTCACTTCAGCAAAACCTATAATTTGGCCAGAGTGTTCAAACTTATGCATGCAACTGCATATATGTTGTCACGATCATCTGAAAACCTTGTAAAGTTTTTATTTTAGTTGCAAAGTCTCAAATCTCATACACACTTAAAAATGATGGTTCTCTAGAGTTTTTTAGTAAAGAGTAAAGTTCTACATAGAACCATGAACACTCAAAGATCGGTTTGCATGATTAAAGAGTTCTGTGTTACATGATTAAAGAGTTCTGTGTTACAAGCTTGAAGCCGGATGAGTTTTTCATCCGGCTTCAAGCTTGTAACAGGAGACAAACCCTTTTCCGTGCTATATAGATCTTACTAAATAACCCTTGAAGGACCTCATTTTTAAGTGTGTACACAAAAGAAGTCAAACTTTGTTAAGAAGATAAAATGCAGTGATCTGAATTAAATAACGGCACAGTAGCGGGACAAAAACAGCAGAATACAAATACAGACATTTTATTTACTGTCCAAAACCACCAGTGAACATTGTCAAAAGCATCCTATTTACAATCATTTTATGTAGTAACTTTCTGTGAGGGAGCTTTTAGAGGTGGACATCTGGTTCCTGTCACCACCTCTGTGAACAGTTCTGACTTGCTAAGTTTCTCTAGAGCAGAGCGTTTCACACCAAACCACTTTAAACGACTTCGTTTACATCTTAACCCTTTAATTATGCAGAAATTCTGGGAGATGGGTGGAATTCCCCTTTACTCTATTGTAAGTGATGGTTCACATGCTTTTCCATCATTCAGTCATGTAACTGCCTAAAGATGATAAGGAGTAAGTGTGTGTTTGAGAGGGATACTGCTGATTAGACTCCTCAGGAGACTCAGCATGACTCCCATTACTGCAGCTAGTGCTTTATTCCTCTCTGCTCCAGCTAATCTTGCTGTGAGACAGCGGCTACAACCTGTTGCATCCTCCAGTGTGGCAGGAGAAGAGAGCAGGGAGGTGAAAGAGGGCGTTGCTTCCAGAATTTGCTCATCCCTTTATAAGGCGCATCACTGGCGTAAAGGTCTATAGGTGCACCTGTCCGCTGCTGCGTTTGCGTGCGTGTCCTAGCGATAGAGCATGGAGTTAGCGATCCGCCGCCACCGTACGGCTCAGAAGAAATCTGCCCATGCCTCAGCCTCATGGGGTCTGTCCCGCAGGGTGGGCGTTCGGCTGCTTTTACACCGCGACCTTCTGACCTGCCGATTTCTGGGCTCCGTCCCGCGCTCCTGGCTCCGTCATTACTGCCGCTCTTCTGACCCCTCTGTTCTCCCTGCAGCCCCCAGGGATCCCTGCTTCACCCCTCCGCACGCTCCGGCTGCCGATGGCTCCAGCCGCTCCGCCCGCTGTGCTCCAGGTATGACCGTCCCGTCCCGCGGACCCAGCGCCCAGCCCGCCGCCCCCAGCAGCACCCAGCCGCTCAGCCACACCAGCAGCTCCAGGTCAGCATCACTTATGCTCACTTAGACTGGATTTGCAGCTGCACAATGCACGTTTTGTGTGTCGTAACAGGTGAGAAATTGTTTGTTGTTGTGGTGGAACTGTCGGAGACTGGTTATATAATAAAGGAGTGTTTTACCCAAAAAAATAAGTGATAGTCTGGTGAAAAATCCAACGTACACAGTTTCCCCCCTTAGCCCAGAGGTAGGATATAGAAGATGATATATGCATGTAGTCCCAGTCAGATTACAAGTTTTATTGATTTTTTTGATTTTCCAGATGAAAATCCTCTCCAGGGATTTTCAGATTATCATACAAAATATAAAATGTGGCATAACTTTTGCACAAGCCACAAATTGATGTCTTTGTTTCTCAGTATGGTACATTCACCAAATAAACAGTAGTTGTGTATTTGAATGTGCAGAAGTGAGTCATCTGTATAGGATTTTTTATCTTATTTTCACTTTGAAAATCAGCAAAACGTGGAATTTGATGAGAGGTGCACAGATGAGAGGTTTTGTTTTGAACTTTATATTTGTTTGGTTTTACATTTAGCATAGAATAAACACATAAACCGACTATTTAACCCTTTAATTGAGCAGAAACAGTTTCTGAGAACTGTTCTGTGCTCTGCAGCTCTATTGCAGGGGAGATGGATGAAGTGGATGCATTCAGGATAAAACGCTATGCAGAGGATGCCGTGTCTCTCGCTCCGTCTACTGCAGACTCGGTCATTGTCGAAGGTGAGAAAACATTCTGTAGGGATTTCTCTTGGGATGAGAGATGGAGTACAGGTAATTCATCTAATTCATACAGTTTTCCCACTTACCCCAGATGTAGTCAGTCAGCCTAGATTTGTGTACAGTCCAAATGTTGCTTGTGTAGTTGAGAACTAAAGCAACAAGGCTAACATTGCTAACAAACACTAGAACTCAATAGTCACCCAAACAGCCAAAATGGGTTCTGTAAAAGTGTATCAGCAAAACTTCTCTCAGCCCACTCAAACTGCATCCACGTCTTTGTTAAGGTGGTGCAGACTTGTTAATGAGTTTTAGGACACAGTATGACTAAAAGTGAGCTGTAAAATGTTTGGCATAAGTAGCAAATTGCATATATTTTGCAGAATTATTCCTTTAATAAGTGATGGATGACATCCGGAAGATCAGTTCCTAGTGCTGGGAATAATAAGTGCTGTCACTGTCACTTTTTTTTAGTGATCTACAGGTTATTTTGATCATTAATAGAGAAATCAGAGTTTTGCAAAAGGGCGAACAGTAAAAATGGACTCAGTATTATAAAAAACGATTCAATATTATAGAATATTTTATTGTTTAAAAAAAAATAAAAGCTTTAAAAAGAATTTACAAATATAATAAGTAGATGAGATACCATATCAGTATAAGTAGGTATCATTATTGGCCCAATATCGGCAGTAAATGCTGGACAGATTTTCAGAGGCATATAAAAGAATGAATGTAATGTAGTCCTGTAACCAGTCTCTCCTGAAATAGCACTTACTCATATTGATAGCTGCGTATTTCTTCCTGTGGGCAGTAGTTTTTAATGAACTGAATTAAAAGCTACTGCCCTCAGGAAGATATACACAGCTGTCAGTGGGAGTATTTTTAATAAAGGTATGATATCACCTTTTCTTTTCTGATACTGATACCCATATTAAAACCTTGATATCCTGTTTTCTCTAATAAAAATACTGTGACAGAAAAAAACGTATATAAATAGATTTGTTCAGCAGACTTCGTTTCTTACTGTAGAAAAGAACAGTAGGTGAAGGTAATTTGCCGTTTTTCCATGACACAGTACGGTTACAAATCCAGGGTTACAAGTCCAGGGTTTGGACAGTTCTGGGTTTGTTGGTCCACCTTGTAGATGTAAAGTCAGAGACAGCAGCTGATGTGTGCCAGTATAGTTTGTGTTGGTCATCCTCTAGTGTCCTCACGCTGTGTGCTGGATATTTTTGGTTGGTGGACTATTCTCAGTCCAGCAGTGACACTGAGGTGTTTCTCTGACATTTTATCCATTATATCAGCTCCACTTACTATATAGGTGCACTTTGTAGTTCTACAGTTACAGACTGTAGTCCATCTGTTTCTCTGATACTTTGTTAGCCCCCTTTTACCCTGTTCTTCAGTGGTCAGGACCCCCATGGACCCTCACAGAGCAGGTACTATTTGGGTGGTGGATCATTCTCAGCACTGCAGTAACACTGACGTGGTGGTGGTGTGTTAGTGTGTGTTGTGCTGGTCTGAGTGGATCAGACACAGCAGTGCTGCTGGAGTTTTTAAACACTGTGTCCACTCACTGTCCACTCTATTAGACACTCCTGCCTTGTCAGTCCACCTTGTAGATATAAAGTTAGAGACGATAGCTCATCTGCTGCTGCACAGTTTGTGTTGGACTACAGTCTGTAACTGTAGAACTACAAAGTGCACCTATATAGTAAGTGGAGCTGATAAAATGGACAATGAGCATAAAAACAAGGAGGTGGTCAGAATGTTATGAGAGTGTATATACATGCACTCTCAGATGTAATGATACTGAACTGTCACTGGGTAGCTCATCATATTGATGGAAAATGTGCTGTAGAAGGTTTTTGAAAAGGGTTCTATATAGCATCACAAAGGGTTCTGCTGTTGTTAGAATATCAAGCTTGTAGCAAAAAAAGAACCCGTTTTGGTGCCTTTCTAGAACCAAATACAACACATTCTCCAACAATTTGAAGAGCAATCGATTCGTTTCACCATGCAGAGACCATTTAATCATGCAAATGGTTCTTTGAGTGTTCATAGTTCTATATATAACCATTTTTTTTGCTAAAGAACGCTTGAAGAACCATAATTTTTTGAAGAGTGTAGCTCAAGCAGCTTGCATTAATGTCCCTGTAGTTACTGAGAAATAAGTGTACGTCTGTAATAAGCCTGTGCAAAAAATGTACCTGCACAGAACCTTTATTTCTAACAGTGTGTACATGTTTTTTGTATGTACATATTGTGTGCATGTTTGTCCACAGATGGGTACTATTCCAGTGTTCGACAGGAGCTGGATGGAATGGCTCAGGATTTCGAGGTGGAGTCGTGGAGTCTGGCTGTGGACCAACAGTTTCTAAAGAAACATTCCAAAGACATGATCAAGAGGCAGGATGTTATATACGGTGAGAGTGTTTGCTGTGCCTTATCTGAAAGCCTCGCTTGACACACCTTTCTCACTTCTTATCGCTCTGTGGATTTACGCTGCCAGTAAGACGTGTAGAGTTTGCTCCACTTATTCATGTGTAATGATTAACGTCTTTATATGCACCCCTCTTTAGCTTGGTTATGCTTAAGGTCATATATATATGAGTATCATATAGATAGATAGATAGATAGATAGATTAACCGTGTGTGTGTGTGTAGAGACAGCAGCTCATGTGTGTCAGCATAGTTTGTGTCGGTCATCCCCTAGACCTTCATCTGTGGTCACAGGACGCTGCCCACAGGACGCTGTTGGCTGGATATTTTTAGTTGGTGGACTATTCTCAGTCCAGCAGCGACACTGAGGTGTTTATAAACTCCAGCAGCACTGCTGTGTCTGATCCACTCAGACCAGCACAACACACACTAACACACCACCACCACATCAGTGTTACTGCAGCGCTAAGAATGATCCACCACCCAAATAGTACCTGCTCTGTGAGGGTCCATGGGGGTCCTGATCACTGAAGAACAGGGTAAAAGGGGGCTAACAAAGTACGCAGAGAAACAGATGGACTACAGTCTGTAACTGTAGAACTACAAAGTGCACCTATATAGTAAGTGGAGCTGATAAAATGGACAATGAGCGTAGAAACAAGGAGGTGGTCATAATGTATGTGTGTGTGTACATTTATATACTCACCACCTTCATTATGACATGCCCTTTTAAATATCCCTAAATAACTTTTTATTACGCATTTATTGTAAAAAGACGTTGAAGAGGGATATTAAAAAGGAATTCCACAAATTTTTCTAAATATCTGCGTAATTTAGTTGTCGAGATTTCGCTTGTAGAGAATCTTACAAACTAGATCTGTGAACCTACACTATATATATATATATATATATATATATATATATATATATATGTGTGTGTGTGTGTGTGTGTGTGTGTGTGTGTGTGTGTGTGTGTATATATATATATATATATATATATATATATATATATATATATATATATTACTGTATACACTACACTATACCTATATCTGATGAAATCAGGGATTTTTTTGGTTATTATCTTTTCTTAGAGCTCTCTGTGTGCACTCCTCCGTTTTGCATGCAGACCTTCTCAAAACTATCATAAAACAGTGTCTCAGACATCAGGCAGTGAATTCATAACCATTTCATGTAATAATTTTAGTTTATGTTTGGCTTTTGTGCCATTCACTTACATGGCTGAGGGGTGCAGCCAGTTGAGAAACATACATACATACATCGTCTAAACCGCTTATCCTTCTGGGTCGCGGTGGGGAGCTGGAGCTTATCCCAGCTGTCATTGGGCGGACAGGTCGCCAGTCCATCACAGGGCAGACAGACAGACATACACACTCTCACCTAGGGGCAATTTAGCATGTCCAATCAGCCTGACTGCATGTTTTTGGACTGTGGGAGGAAACCGGAGAACCCGGAGGAAACCCACGCAGACACGGGGAGAACAGGCAAACTCCACACAGAAACGACCCTGGTCACCTGAACGGGAATCGAACCCAGGCCATTCTCGCTGTGAGGCAACAGCGCTACTCGCTGCGCCACCGTGCCACCCCCAGTTGAGAAACCTTAAAACATAAAATTTTTGCAGCAGACACATTTTATTATTTTGTTTTTTCCCACAATATGTTAAATTCAGTAAACAAACAGTAATTATGCATTAAAATGTGCAGAGCTGTGCCCTCATTAGGGGATGTGTTAACTTAATTTACACTTATTTCAGTAAAATATGGAATTTTAAAACTACATACACAAGTTATTGTGCTAGTCAGTGCCTGATTCATTGGCCCGTTTTCCTTGGAGCACAAATATTAGCCATACCATACAATACTGTACACTTTGTGTGCTCATCTTTTAAATAAATAAATGTAAATGTGAACATTTCAGAGCTGATCCAGACGGAGATGCACCACGTGCGCACCCTTAAGATAATGCTGCGCGTTTACGTGTACGAGCTGCGTGAGACGCTGCAGCTGGACGAGAGGAGGCTGGACTGTCTGTTCCCGCGACTGGATAGTCTTCTGGAGCTACATAACGACTTCCTGTCCCGCCTCAAAGAGCGCCGGAAAGAGGCTCTACAGCCGGGCAGCGAACGCAACTACACCATCGACAGAGTGGCAGATATCCTCACTGAACAGGTACAGAACCACATGTCTGAATGCTTACAAAGCAGTGGGTGATATGATGATATATTATCATAATACATTTCACCACAATACACTTTTCTGTGTATATGATGGGTATTATCAGCACTTCTAAACTGAACAGCTGCATGGATCGTTGAAGAGACGTTGAAGAGCAGTTACAGAGAGCCTGTGAATAACGGCCAGTATGTATTGTAACTGCAGGTAGCTGATTGGATGGAATCTTATCTTGTTTGATTGTCATTTTCCTCCTGTTCCTTATTACTATAAATGAAAATAAAAATCACTGTAGTTAATTTAACTTTTTTATATGCCATTACTGTTTAGATGATATAGTGCATTTTGTCCATTCTAAGTTATTAGCTAACCTTTTAATAAACATAGTTGGGATTTCTTATAGTCTGAATGTTACAGTGTTCATGATATGAGCTGTTACATGTGGAAGTGTGGAAGTAAAGCAAGAGCAATTAACAAAAAACATTTTGTTCTCAAATCATTTCACAAGTTACATTTAGGTAAGACAAACAAATAGTTTAATTTAACCTCTTAAACTCTACTTTTGTATGTTACTCACACTTCAATTCCTCACTCTCGTAACTATAGGAATCATGTCCATATCAGCAGATAATTGCTTTAAAAAATAACACCATTGGACAGACGTTTAGACATGACTGATATTTCAAGCTGATTCAGCAGATATGATGATGTTAGTATCTGGCATCCCTCAGTATTATGTCGTAAGATTAACAGCTGATTAATAAGCAGGATGAAGGGAAAAAATGAAAAGAAAAGGCCATTCATGTTAGTACATAACTGTGTATCGTCTCATGTCTCTACAAATATAATCTGACACATTTTTATGCTTCTTTTGTGTAGTTTTCAGGGGAGCGCGGGGAACGGATGAAGGAAAGTTACGGCGCTTTCTGCAGCCGCCACACAGAAGCCGTCAACTTCTATAAAGAGCAACTACAGAGCAACAAGAAGTTCCAGAACCTAATAAGGGTACAGACACACCGCATAACGTGATTTATATTTGGTAGATGTTGGTTTTTATTTATCTGTTGGATACGTTTGTGTTTGTGTATGTTGGTATTTGTTTCATTATTTAGTATTTGGAGGCTTCTGCATGGTGCTTAATTTAGCAATTTATTATCGTTATTATTGTTGTTGTTCATTGTCGCTTTACTTTGTATTTCAGAAAATAAGCCATTTGTCCATAGTGCGGCGGCTTGGTGTTCCAGAGTGTATTCTCCTCGTGACGCAGCGCATCACCAAGTACCCTGTCCTCGTGGAGCGACTGCTTCAGTGCACAGAAGGTTGGATTTGAGTACATGTTCAATTAAAATGTCCAGTGTCCTCCTAAAAAACTCAGTTCTTTCTGAATTGCTTAGAGAATCATAAAAAAATTACCATAATCATTGTATTTTCTTAGTTTGTCATTTTAATGTATACATTCTTCATAACAAGCTTTAAAATTTGCTAATAGTTTGCTGATATCTCGGGAGCTCAATTTCCTGTTCCACCTTAAATAGTCCAGCATTTCTGACTCCTGAAGTGCCACAATGTAACTGCTGCTCCATTTAAGGTGGAACGAGAAAATTCGAACAAGAAGCTGGAGAATAAGTAACTATAGCTTCATATCACTGAAGAATTAGGGGTGGGTGATAATAAATAATTGCCCTCCCTCTTTGAAGACACATGATTCCCTAAATGTAACTAAAGCCCAGCAGTGAGGAGCTGAACTTTACCCTCCTCTGCTGTCACTGCAGACTGGCAGGGTCGCCCACAGAGCGACTGCTTCAGTGCACAGAAGGTTGGATTTGAGTACATGTTCAATTAAAATGTCCAGTGTCCTCCTAAAAAACTCAGTTCTTTCTGAATTGCTTAGAGAATCATGTTGAAGAGTCGTCATTTGGTAACGAATTGGAGGTGAATTGGAAATACAGTAACTTTATACTTATTATTTTAAGTCTGAAAGGACTATTTTGCTTTCCCTTGTACTTTGCAGTCGGTACAGATGTTTGTGGGTTTTAGAGTAATCAGTAGCACCTCCCTCCATCGTGTATTTTCCCACAGCTGGCACTGAGGAGCATGCAGAGCTGAGTCAGGCCCTGGATCTGATTAAAGACACCATCATGAAGGTGGACTCTCAGGTCAGCCTCTATGAGAAGGAGATGCGCCTCAAGGAGATCGCCTCCAAGATAGAGGCCAGATCCCTCGGCAAGATCAAAGACGGACGAATATTTCGGAGGGAGGACCTCACGCAGGGCAAACGGAGGCTGCTGCACGAGGGCATGGTCAACTGGAAGGCCGCGTCTGGCAGACTGAAGGGTACGAGTTGCAGTGCATTTCAGAACTGTAGTGCGTTTAGTCTAAGTGAAAGTGGTCCCTCTTACCTCACAGGTAGTCGTAGTTGATCAGTCGAGACATGTTTGGCATCTGAAGTTTGCTTATTTACTTTTCGACTGGAGCTTTGAGACTTAATTAATGGAAGTGTGGAACCCCACCAGTTAGCGTGGTGCTAACTGCATATCTAAAGTCGTCACACACTTGCTTCAAACCAAGTGGAGTTGTTCTGTAATCTTCTGTAGACTTGATTTTGTGGTTTCTGACAAACATGGACTAAAGTACATCGCATAGCTTAAAACAGTAGCCTGTAAGTAAGCCTATCATGAACATGAAATTTTAGCTGATAGTTCATTGTTTACAGCCACTTAAGCACAAACCTAAAGTAGCCAAAATGGCTCATTAACTGTCTTGCTTTCTAGCTGTCGATATTTAAGTTTTCAGCTGACAACAGAAACAGCTTGAGCTCAAATAAACAAACATTACTCACTGCTTCACTCTAGAGGTTTTATTGTAAAAAGTTTCAGAAGTTAAAACTTTAATAGTTTTATTTTGTATTTCAGTAATGCCCCTGCCACTTAGCCCTACCCCTTCGCTTTCTGCGTTCATGTCTAAGGTTAGGGTGTCCCGATTTTTGCTGAGATAGAGGGTTAGGGTGAAGTGTTAGAGCTACATCTCTCTCCAAATGGAGGTTTTTCAGAGACTCCAAACAGAGTGTTATGAGAAAAAAAGACTGGCAGGAAGGCTGCACAAGCAACCAAAGAAACCCACAAATGTCTCCATTAAAAAGTTACCATAATCTTAGTTTTGTCATTTTAATGTATGTATTCTTCATAACAAGCTTTAAAATTTGCTAATAGTTTGCTGATGTCTCGGGAGCTCAATTTCCCGTTCCACCTTAAATAGTCCAGCATTTCTGACTCCTGAAGTGCCACAATGTAACTGCTGCTCCATTTAAGGTGAAACGAGAAAATTCGAACAAGAAGCTGGAGAATAAGTAACTATAGCTTCGTATCACTGAAGAATTAGGGGTGGGTGATAATAAATAATTGCCCCCTCTTTGAAGACACATGATTCCCTAAATGTAACTAAAGCCCAGCAGTGAGGAGCTGAACTTTACCCTCCTCTGCTATCACTGCAGACTGGCAGGGTCGCCTACAGAGCAGCGGTAGTAGCTGTTAATGAAGTAATGTTCTTTTTTTTTTGAGGGTCCCATTTCATAGAGAGGATTTCATCCCTTTCATTACCCTTGTAACTCAGTTCCAAGGGGCAAGGTGATGCTCGAAAGCAAGGGGTGGGGGTAAAAATAAGAAAGGATTGGACCCTAATGTGTTTGCCTCAACCGGACTGAAAAAAACACACCCAGTTCTCATTCTGTTTGTAGTGGCAGAAACGTGTGACTGTGAAAGCTAAAAACTGTGGAAAATAAATGCGATAAGCTCAAACGATTGTGATGAGGTGATCGTGTAGTCATTATGACAGTCCTATTAGCAGGTCTATTTGACAAGTTACCCAGTACTAACTGGTGCACTGTAAGCTTCAGTGTAAGCTACATTAGCCTTATAGCTCCTGTGGAAAAGTAAAGAAGCAAACCTCAGACATCGAACATGTCCTAGCTGATCAGCTGTAGCTGGAGAAACGGGATCTGGGGGTGGGCGGTCAGTGAAAAACAGCTCCTGGGAAAGCATCAGTTCTGAGGAAGGAGAAATAATGTATAAAATGTTGGATGTTGCATTTCAAGCTTGACCGGTATCAGCGAAGATGCTGATAAGGGAGATCTATTTGGGAATTCGTCCGTCTACTTTCATGCCTACTGCCAAAATTTAGGTAATATTTTATTGCAAAAAGCAAGAATTCGTCAGGCTGGAATGTAACACAAACAAGTGGAATAGAAGAGCAAACAGAAACCCACTCCGTTTACGAAAGGAAAGAGATCGCAGACACAAGCCTTCCCAAGCAATTTCCTCAATCAGATAAAAAGGTCAGTGTCTTGGGCAATATTCCACACTCGGTCTGCATTTATAACGTTCCCGATCCGCCCCCTGCTGCACTCGTGTTCTCCAATGAAGCAAGTAAAAACGGGCTTTTTGCTAATTTTATGTGCTATATATATATACATGTTTATATATAATAATTTTCATTTATTATGCACAGATTAGGAGGAATAATTACTCATCACTTTGGTGAAACCTGTTTGGCTAACATAATAAATATGCTTCATGTATGTTTCTTGCTCCTTTGCAGATATTCTAGCTGTGCTGCTCACAGATGTACTGTTGCTTTTACAAGAGAAGGATCAGAGATACGTGTTTTCTGCTGTGGTAAGTTCAGCCGTTCTTCCATAAAGACTTGTTGTATTTAATTTACAACTCCATTTCCAAAAAAGTTGGGACGCTGTGTAAAAGGTAAATAAAAACTAAAGGCAATCATGTGGAGATCCTTTAAACCCTATATTTCATTGAAAATAGTTCGAAGACCGCATATCAAATGTTGAAACTGAGAAATTTTATTGTTCATTGAAAAAATAGTTGCCCATTTTGAATTTGATGCCAGCAACACATTCCAAAAAAGTTGGGACGGGGACAACAAAAGGCTGGTCAAGTTGTGTAATGCTCAAACACCTAGTGGTTGATTGGCAACAGGTCAGTAACATGATTGGGTATAAAAGAGCATCTCAGAGAGGCTGAGTCTTTCAGAAGTAAAGATGAGGAGGGGTTCACCACTCTGTGAAAGACTGCACCATCAAATAGTGCAACAATTCAATAATAACGTTTCTCGACATAAAACAGCAAAGAACCCTTACTTTTCATCATCTACGGTACAGAATATCATTAAAAGATTCAGAGAATCTGGAGAAATCTCTGTATGAGGCCAAAAACCAGTATTTGCTGGCCGTGATCTTTGGGCCCTCAGACAACACTGCATTAAAAACAGACTTGATTCTCTGGTGGACATCACTGCATGGGCTCAGAAACACTTCAGAAAATCACTGTCTGTGAAAACAGTTCATCACTGCATCCACAAATGCTGGTTAAAACTCCAAAACGCAAAGAAGGAACTGTACATAAACAGAATCCAGAAATGCTGCCACTTTCTCTGGGCCTGAACCCATTTAAAATAGAATGAGGGGAAGTGGAAAAGTGTCCTGTGGTCCGACGAATCACTGTGTTCTCCGGGCTAAAGACCACTCAGCTCGTTATCAGTGCACAGTTCAAAAGCCAGTATTCATGATGGTATAGGGGGGCATTAGTGCACATGGAATGGGTGACGTGCACATCTGTGAAGGCACCATTAATGCTGAATGATATATACATGTTTTGGCAGCATATGCTGCCATCCAGACGACGTCTTTTTCAGAGAAGGTCTTGATTATTTCAGCAAGACAATGTCAAACCACATTCTGCATGTATTACAACAGCATTGCTCCATATTAAAAGAGTCCGGGTGCTGCACTGACCTGCCTGCAGTCCAGATCTGTCACCCACTGAAAACATTTGGTGCATTATGAAATGGAAAATATGATAAAGGAGACCCTGAACTGATGAGCAGCTGAATTATTAAACAAGAACAGGAAAACATTTCACTTTCTAAACTACAGCAGTGTCTCCTCAGTTCCCAAACGCTTACAGAGTGGTGTTAAAAGAAGAGGTGATGAAACACAGTGGTAAACAGGCCCCCGTCCCAACTTTTTTAGAACATGTTGTTGCATCAAATTCAAAATGGGCAAATATTTTTCAAAAAAAACAATAAAATGTTGTCTATGTAGTATTTTCCTGTACACAAATGGTTTACACGATTTGCACATCATTGCATTTTTATTTACATTCTGGCACAGTGTACCAACTTTTTTGGAAATGGCTTTGTACTTAGTGTTGGCATTCTGGATCAGCCTTCAGTATTTAACACAGTGTAGAGAGAAGGTTTATCTAAAATAACTCCTAGATCTCAGTAAATATAAATTCAGATACAGACAGAAAAAAGACAATGCTTTTTCAAGAAGAGTTTTCATTATTTCTTTATATCTAATGAGCAACACCTGTTTCACAGTTCAATACTTGCCATATTAATGTGTTATTCATAAAGCTGCTATGCGTGATTACTCTTGCTCAATCTGGCCTTGAGGAGCTGTGCATGATCTCAATACAAGAACGTCTGGTGAGAGCTATTAGAGCTTTTGGGGTAAATGTGGGTGGGAATAAGCTGAATAAACTGAGTGTGAGACATCATTTATATATATATATATATATATATATATATATATATATATATATATATATATATATATATATATATATATATATGATGTTTAAACCCAGATGTTAGGGTTTAAAGGGGGTGTGTCCTTGTTTGCAGTGGATTTCATCACAACCCAGCTCCAAAAGTTTAACAACGTTGTCGTCGGATGTGTTTTTTCTCGTTGACATATCACGTCTGGCCCTGCGAGGCCAGCTGTGGCCCTGCAGTAGCTGCTGACTGAGTGAATTCTATGGCCACCATTTTTCCACAGTTAGATGAACTGAATAGTTTAGGAAAGTTTTCTTTCCGAATGTGTCATGGTTTGATTTGCTCCTCATTTTCAGGACAGCAAGCCGTCAGTGATCTCTCTGCAGAAGCTGATTGTGAGGGAGGTGGCTCATGAGGAGAAGGCCATGTTCCTCATCTGCGCCTCCTCCACTGAGCCGGAGATGTATGAGATCCACACGTCCTCCAAAGAGGAGCGCAACACCTGGATCACGTGCATCCGCCAGGCCGTGGACAGGTACGGTGCTGGAGCTGAACCTAAGGACCAGATGTCTTTAGTTCTGTAACATGGAGCAAAAATCAAAGTCCTTATAGGAAAGTCTGTCCGCTCAAACCTGAAGTTAATGCTGAAAAGCATATTTGAAATCACTGTTAAAATCTGATAACAGCATAAGTAGATTGTAGCGTTTGGCTCAAATAACACACACAACATGATTTTTCCGCTTATTCTGGCATCTGCGCTTACACGTGTCCACAATGAGGGAGAGCTCTTCCTCCCTGCAGCTTAAACAGCGAACAGTGTGGCTCATTTTATTGATTATTTATGTATTTTATTATTTATTTATTTATCATTTTATAAAATGCAGGATTTTCCTGGTAAACAGGCGTCATGTTAAGTGTTATAGGCTTCATATTTCCTTCTTTATTACATCTCTGTTTTCAAAAAATGTTCCTTTTTAAATTTTTTATTAATTCATTCATTTTTTTACTAAAACAAAACAAACTTTATTTTGCTTGTATCTTATTTGGCATGTATCTTCCCTTGAGCCAACAAGATATAAAATGAAAATAGCATGTATTTGTGAGCGTTTTATGATTGTTTTTATCTGACTGTGTCCTTTCTCACGCTGCAGCTGCCCACACACAGAGGAGAGGCTGTTCAGTGAGGAAGAAGGAGAAGCGAGAGCTCAGCGTTTCAGGGGCATCCAAGGTAAAGACTACTGGATGTGTAATGCTGCATTTGGAGTTTTTTTTTTTACCACTAGAGGGAGCACAAGTTCAGAAACTAAATGCTTGGTTTGGCCGAGAGCAGTAGTATCTATTGTGGCTACACTCGTACCTGCACAAAAACTCTGATCCACTCAGACCAGCGCAACACACACTAACACACCACCACCACATCAGTGTTACTGGAGTGCTGAGAATGATCCACCACCCAAATAGTACCTGCTCTGTGAGGGTCCATGGGGGTCCTGACCACTGAAGAACAGGGTAAAAGGGGGCTAACAAAGTATCAGAGAAACAGATGGACTACAGTCTGTAACTGTAGAACTACAAAGTGCACCTATATAGTAAGTGGAGCTGATAAAATGGACAATGAGCGTAGAAACAAGGAGGTGGTCTTCATGTTATGCCTGATTGGTGTATCTTCTGATACCGGCCTGTCATTACATATTTTGAAAATTTCAGGAAATGTTCATGAAACCTCTATTTTGTTGTTAATTAATGCTTTAAAAAGCACCCTAGTAATTTATCTTTCTACCTTTCTCTCTTCCTTTCACTCCTCTCAGAGCGTCTGACTGTGAAGGATGCTCAGATCACGCAGGCTCTGATGGAGAAGCTGCAGTTGTTTGCTGAGCTGGCCGAGTCTGTGGCCTGCGTGGAGGACGTTGGTTCTCGCTCTCGCCTGCTGCTCCGTGGAGACGCGTCAGACCTCCAGCAGGGGGAGCAGCTGCTTAAGGGAGCCATTACTGAGGGTAGTTACTGTGCAGCACTACTGCTGGAACATGATCTGTATTTATATATGATCACATTCCAGTGCAGAAACTTCTCCTTGTTTGTATAGCTGTACTAATTAGGTTTGAATATAGGAGGAAGCAGACAATCCCAGATCAGTCCCCCGATCTAATGAGTAGATTTGAACTGATATGGGATTCAATGGTTGAGATGTGAACAGAGTGACTCAGAGTGGTTTGGTGTGAAATGGTTCAGATTTCTTTACAGTGGTGGTGATAGGAACCAGGGGTCGCCATGACTACAACACAAATATAGACATTTTATTTACTATCCAGAACCACCAGTGAACCTACACGAGTCTTCTGAGTTTATATGGAATGTTGATGATGGTAAAATCTGGAAAATATGAAAAAAAAAAATAGTTTTGCTGTTTCTACATGTACCTCTCTGCATAGAACGGACTTCAAAACCAAAAATAAAAACATTTTAAAAAATCTTTTTTAAAACTCTCCTAAAACAGTATCTCAGACATCAGGCAGTGTATTCATAACTATTTCCTGTAACGATTTCCTGTAATGATTTCCTCTGTGGGAGCTTTAAGAGGCGTGTCTGGTTCCTATCACCACCACTGTAAACAGTTCTGACTCCAGAACGGAGCATTTCACGTCAAACCACTCTAAATGACTTTGTTAACATCTTAACCATTTAATTATGCAGAAATTTTCAAAAAATCAGCAGAATTTATTTCACTTTACACATGTACACGTGTCAGGCTCCAGTCCTTGTGGGCCAAAACACTGCAGACTTCAGCACGTTACCTCATTTAAACACACCTGATTCAGCTTATTAACTAATTAGCAAGGCTTTCCTGAATTGAATTCAGAGCATTAAATGAGGGTAAACGCTAATCTCCGCGTCACTTTGGCCCGGAAGGTCCCCAGTTTGACACACCTGCTTTAATACAAGCCCCTGTAATCCTGATATGAAGGTATGAAATGCGCTCAGCGGTTACATTTCTTCTACATTGTTTTCTCTAGTTGAGAACCTGCAGAACCTGCTGGCCTCTGGTGTGAGAGGAGCTTCTCCACACCCTGAGGAAAACCAGAGCCCAGGCTCAGGGTCAGGCATGCTGCCCAAAAGAGCGGACACGTTCGGGGGCTACGACAGTAACCCTCCTATGCTACAGAAGAGTAAGAGCTAACACACCTTTAATTCTCCTTTGACTTCACGTCACCTGTTCATCTGTGTAACTTCTGGTCCATTGAAAGACTGTTGTCTTGCATAATGTCTCCTTAATGACATTGTCTGAGTGATTTGAATGTCATCACTGTCACGCCATTTGAAAATGCCAGCTACTCCTTAGTGTTGTGTGAATATTTCATGATGAATGGACCAACAGAAACGGCCCTAATTGTCTTGGAATAAGATCTCATTTCATTAATGTATTTTTAATTTTCCTTCTTTTATAAAGTTTCTATTTTTGATTTGATGTTATGTTATGTTTTTTGAGTAACACTTGAATCCTGCTGCATATCACTGACATAACCATGTCATAAACATGTCATGGAAGATGTCATATGCTCTCGTGAGTTGTCATAACAGATTTTGTTCTCTAATGTAACAGTGTCATGTTTCCATGATTGACAGCTTATGTCACGTGCCAAGTTGTATGTGGGTACATCAAACATGACATCTGTCGGGACAGTTAATGGCAACAGTAACATGACACTGAGCCAAATCTATGACAGCTTATGATGTCTGCCATGTTATGTTTATGGCATGATTATGTCAGTGTTATGGAGCAGAATTTAAGTACAGTGTTACCAACTTACTGATAAGGAAGGAAGGTTGTTAGTATGTTTCAGTACAGTTCTGTATGTACGACCAGGGGGATAAGCGGCTTAGTAATTATATGTGTGTTTGTGTGTGTTAAATAGATGGCAGTGTAAAGAAGCTCTCGAGTGGATCAGGAAAGTCCAGAGACAGAAATCAGCGCGCCAGTTCTGACCCCCAGCTTAAAGAGATCTGCACCGGTCAGGGGCTGGAGGACATGGTGAGACAACTCCCCCCTCAACCCTTCAGGGGGGTGATCAGTAAATACCCATCAGATGATGAGTATCTGTCACTGTCACTCTCTCACTCACTGTCTCTCTCACTTTAGCTCTCGCTCTATCCATCTATCTATCTGTGTCACGCTCTCTCTTGATTTGTACCTCTGTCTGTCCATCCATCTATCTATCTACCTATCCATCTCTCCGTCTATCTATCTATGTCACCCTCTGTCTATCTATCTGTCTATCACACTCTCGATTTGTCCCTCTGTCTGTCCATCTGTCTATCTACCTGTCCATCTATCTGTCTGTTTATCTATATATCTATCTATCTATCACACTCTCTCTCGATCTGTCCATCTATCTGTCCATCAATCTATAGGTCCATCTGTCTATCTATCTATCCATCAATCTATCACGCTCTCTCTCGAGCTTTCCATCTATCTGTCCATCCAGCTATCTGTCTACCTGCCTATCTATCGGTTTATCTGTCTAGCTATCATGCTCTTTCTTTATCTGTCACTGTCTCGCTCATTCTAGCTCTTCCTATTTGTCTGTCTGTCTGTCTGTCAATCTATCATGCTCTATCAGTCTATCTAGCTGTCCTCTCTCTCACTTTCTGTTGCTCTTACTCTTTCTCTACCTCCCTCTGTTTCCTATTGTCTCTTCTCTCTCACTTTTTCTCTCCTTCTCTGTCTGCCTTTCTTCTCTTTCTTTTTTCTTTTTGTTCTTCTTTTTCTTCCCCTCTCTACCTATGTCTTTTTATCTGTTTATCTTTCTTTCTTGTTTCTCTTTCATTCTTTTTCTCTGTCCCCTCTCTCTCTTCTATACTTCTATTTCTCTGTGCCCCTCTCCCTTCACGCTTTCCTTTGAAAGTTTTAAACATATTGTAAGAAACCTGTATCTAAGCTATCTAACCCCTGTCTCTCTCTCTCTTTCTCTCTCTCTCTCTCTCTCTCTCTCTCTCTCTCTCTCTCTCTCTCTCTCTCTCTCGCTCTTGCTCTCTCAGGCTGACACTTCCTCTCCCAGCTGGAACACGATCTGGTTGAACTCCAAGTTTCCAGAGGCTGAGGTGAGTATTAGAGCAGTTGATGAGCAGAACATTATCCTTTATGCTTATTACTGTAACACACACCCGTTCCACTGAATAAGGCTCATTATTAAAATGGATTGATCTCTTATTGCAGTTCCCCGCAGGGTGAAAGTGTGTTTCCACCAGATTATGAACTGAGGCAGCAGTTCGAACAGAAATCATTTTCATGCATATTAATTTCGTAACAGTCTCCCTCCTGGGTGTTTCTTAGGAAAACAAAATCACATCAGTCAGTGAAACACGTGATCTTGTAGTAATCCGCGTTGACTGGCAGCTGATTATCGTGCCAATTTGTAACGAAATGGGTTTTAGTGAAGCTGGTGTATCTGTGTGGTGAGATCCAGGTGTTTTACATTGTCTTCTTTTTCCTGTTTTTCCAGTTCTTTGATCGGGTGCTGCTGCTCGCTCAGCGTCTCTACAGTCTACAGGTAAACTAACATGACCTCATCCATCCCTCATGATGCATCAGCACTGCTGAACAAGGCCACAGCAAACTGATGTGTCTCATATCAGGGTTATTATAGGTTGAAATGTTCATTATTTTTTTATTTTTATTTAGTATTTTTTGTTTTGGTTTATGAGTCTGTTAATAGTTTTAGTTCTGTTTTTATTCTCTGAAAGGGAAGCGTTTTAGCTTAGTTTTTGTTTTTTTGGTAATATATAGTCCCACTTCATATTAGGTGTCTGTAATTGTGTAGTTACATAATAATAGTGCATGCAACAATGATGAAACTATTGGTGATGTTTTCATTGGAGTTTGTTTCCATGCACTCAATAATCCGATCATAATCAGATTTCTGCAGTCATGTAAACAGCAAACTCTGATTTCCTAATGCATGGCCACAAATTAGTAAGGCGTGGGAATGAGATAATTAAATCGTGGCCACGACTTATTAAGGCTTGGAAATGGGATCATACCTTACAAAGTCGTGGCCACACATTAGGATCTCATTCCCACACTTTAGTAAGTTGTTCCCACGCCTTACTAAGTTGTGGCCACGCGTTATTTTTTTTTTTATATACAGGATGTCACCAGAGGGGCTTCGTAATTAATGAATTGTTTTATATAAGTTTTTGTTAGATGGTGTGAAAGTCTGAATTCTTAAACACAGTTCCTGGATAGTGACACTGTCTTCGTATCCTTAGGAGCATGTTTGACATGTTATCACCAAATTGTTAATTTACCAAATTGTTGTTTTCAGTCATTCTGATATTTCTAGCTTCCACGCTCCTCCAGGGCCTGTATTTTAAACTCTGAATTTGTTAAATGCATGTTATAATAGTAATAAAAATAATAATAAAAAAAAAAATTAAAAGCTCCTTTCACATTGTCAGCATTACTTACGCATAAATTTTCTATCTAGCGTACCCAGGGCTGAAAGATGAGTTGTTTTTATATCAAAATCGAAATTTAAAAAAGTGCAATTTTCAAATCACAAGAGCTGCAATATTATTTATAGCCATTTTTATTAACAGTGTCTTAAGTAGGGAACATTAACCTAATATCAGAGCTCTCAAACTGTCCGTAGATGACTTAGACCAATTAGAAGCAACCAAACAACTATATGCTGTGATATCTCAACCACAACTAACGGGCAGTCTGGCATGTTCAGTGTTCAAGTCTCAAGACAGAAAAAGTGGGTGTTCTGGTATTCTTGGCCAAAATAACAGGCCTGGACTTCACTTTACAGAAAATAATCACAATTTAAATCACATTCGCAGTATCGATCAGAAAAATCGCTATTAGATATTTTTCCCAAATCGTTCAACTCTAATCATACCATACTGACCGTGTAGTCCTAATGTCCACTGCTTGCTTTTTTCTCTTCTTTTTGTCCCTCCAAACTTTGCGCAGTCCATCATCTCGCAGCAGGACAGTCAGATTGAGCTTCAGAGAGCGTCTCTGTTCTCAGCGGAGCGGGACCGGCCTGGCCGGCCGCGCGGCACCAACGTTCTGCTGGAGCAGGAGAAGCAGAGGAACCTGGAGAAACAACGCGAGGAGCTGGCCAACTTCCAGCGTCTGCAGGCGCAGCACCGCCAGGAGCAGGCGAGGTGGGAGCGCGAACGCGAGCGGCAGCGGCGGCAGGCCGAGGCGGCTGAGCAGAGGCTGCAGGAGAGAGAGGAGGAGTGCAGGAGGCTGGAGGCTCGGCTGGTGGAGGAGAGGCAGGAGCTGGAGAGGCAGAGGCAGACCTACCAGCAGGACCTGGAGAGGCTGAGGGAGTCCACGCGAGCTGTGGAGAAGGAGAAGGAGAAGCTGGAGCAGCAGCAGAAGAAGCTGAAAAAGCACAACACGGTGCCCAGCACCGCTTCACTGTACATCCAGGAGACGGGACAGGTGAGGAGGGATGGGCGTCGTTAGTGTTATTGAAACTAAGGCTACGTTCACATTACCAAGTTCAAGTGACACAAATCTGATTTTTTTTGCCCTAAAGTGACTCAGATCTGATGTTTTCCGGGCTGTGTGGACACAAATCTGATCTTTTCAAATCCGACCTGAGCTACTTCCATATGTGGTCCTAGATTGGATACGTATCTAATTCGTGGGCACGCAACCGGAATTCATGTGCTTTTTTTCCACTGCGCGTGTGCCATCATTCAGCGTTACCATGGCAGCAGCGCCGAACAAAAGTTAAAGCCTGTAAACGGTGGAAAAGCAGCTCATCTCACCTTTTTCTCCTTCGTCTCGCTCTAATAATGAAGCTGAGAGCTGATCAGAGTTAATTATCTTCTCAGCGAAGCTCGTTCTGCTCGTTAGTTTGTGCTGATGATGAACGTGATTCACTCACGTGACGTTACTGAGTAGGATGAGCTCATGAGGGTCATTTCAGGACGCCGGTTCGTCACATTAATGACAGGTTTGGGTCACTTATCTAAATGCGTGTGAACCATCGTGTCAGAGAGATCGGGTTTGAGCAAAAAATCGGATTTGAGCAACGAGGCTTGTAATGTGAACGTAGCTTAATACTGTTGTTGATGCTGCTAATTATTTTGCCGGTTTAGCTTTAGATCTAATATCAGTTCTTTTTTATTTTGTCAGATAATTACAATGCATTCAGACCTGAACTGTTGGCTTTCGTTTATTAGCCTGATTAGCCTGTTGTAGACTAATTTGTTATTAGTCTAGTGTACTCGCATCATATTGCATTCATGGTGAGATGGAATGAATTTTTTTTTTTATTGTTTAGCCAGATCTTTAAACCATATTCGCAGCTAAACAGTTAGCTAAGCTGGCAATCATATAAATATTAGTCTGTTAAGTATCTAAGTAATTAGTAGTTAAGTAGGCTAATGACTGTATGGACTGGGAAGTGAGTGGTATGTTTTGAAACTTTAAGAGTGATTTCAGACCTTGTTCTACCTCTTTGTGTAAAACAAAGTAATAGCAGCTTGGTTTTCTATGGCATGGGCTCTTTAAAGTGGTGGGACTATTAATGAATGAATTGTTTTATATTATTTATGCTGGATGTTAGAAAGGTCTGAATTCTGGAACACAGTTTCTGGATATCAATGCTTTCTTCATGTCCTTAGTAATGTGTTTGACGTCTTATCACCAAATTGATTTACCAGTCACTCTGATTGCTGATTTCTAGCTTCCGTGTTTCTCCAGTGTTATCTCGCATTTTAAACACTAAATCTGAAACTAGCACTGCATTATGTTGCATTTATGGCAACAGAGATTGTCTTCACCAGCTTGACCAAAATATAGCCAAACTGTGCAAACATGGATGGCGAGAGAACAGTATTTCGATGCTTTTATGAGTTCCGATTTCTCCAGCGCTGATAGCAGGACTGTGAGCATATACATTTTATTGATGCAAATCAATTTGATGCTTCCTAGAAATTGTTTGAAGTGGAAAGTACTAGCATTATACATTGATATTCACTCGAAAGAGGCCCCAAATAGTCTGTAATAACTCTCGCTAGGACGAAGCGATCTGAATGAAACAACGTGCAATGAGCTCCTCAGTATATGGAGCTTCAAACAAGCCGGGATGCCCCTGCGTCGGAGCGATTAGGTAGGCGCCGGACAGCTGTCGCTACGTTTAACCTCTGTTTGCAACTTCGGGGTGCATGCCCCTGTACCCCTTCATGTGTCTGGCAGAAAATGGAGATCACTTCCAGCATCGCATGTAATGCAATCGATTACACATACGTCAAGGTATGTAGCGTATTTTTTAGGCTCAGATTGCTTCATCCTAACAGGAGTTACAGCAGAATATTCAGGGCATCTTTGAAGTGAATCTCCCTGTGTTTGCGTCATTTTATAAATGCATTTGCAGCCATATTGATTTTATACAATTGATAACAGTTGTTTGGAATGTTAAGAGGTGTAACTAAATTTATTTTCAATAATTAAACCCCAAAAAACACAACTTCTAGAACTTATTAGCTGTTCAAAAGAAAAAATAGCGCAGCCAGTTGAGTGCATGTGTCCTTATTATAAGCCCCGCCCACTTTACTTTGATAGGCTGCACCCGGTTGCTCCGTTCTGATCTTCGGTTGCATAGAAGATGGCAAATGAGAGACGCTTGGAAGAGAGAGCGAGGGACAAATACAGCTTTACCTTTCCTTACACCGTTTTGAGCATTAATTCTATGTTTCTTTTCAGTACTGCATTGAAATTGTTTAGTTAGAAACAATCTCTACCTCTCCACTCTTCCTCACTGGCCAGGTGAGATGTTCTCTGCTGATCCCTCCTTCATCACTTCCTGTACTGTAACTGTAGGCCCGTCCTGAACAATACCCCACTGTGTCCGGATTAAAGAGCTCCTCCGTTTCCTGCTCCGAGCCTGTGCGCTGTTTGCTGATGGGAGATGGGAGATAGCAGATAGGCTGCTGCGGGGAAAGAGACGCCTCAGCAGCGTTATTTGAGCGCAGTTAGAGCAAACCATCCACAGAGCCGCCCACACAGAGGAGCCAGGCTCTGTGTAAACAGATACAAATACAAAGCCACAGATGGGGACACATCCTGAAACGGCCAAGCCGAGATAAAGCTGCGGTGCCGTCTGATATTACACTGGGCTTTATGCGTTTGAGAATCGGAAAGGACAGGAAGACGCAGTGTAACTGTGAAGTTGTTATCACACGGTTGCCATTTGCAATATGGATAAGGCAGCAGTATACAAATATTAGTAATTAGATACTCTTAACGATTATTTTGATAGTTAATCAAGTAATTGTATTCATTAATTTATAACAGGGAGTGTTTAATTTTTACTTTATTATAATAATTTGTAACTACAAACATATATTCCTGTAATCCTGCTGGTGTGGGTTTCCTCTCTTTCGGTGATTCACACAAAGGTGATTTGCTTGCTAACAGACTGCAGTTTATTTAATTGAGTGATCAGTTAAATAATCATAAACAGTAACCATTATGGCTTCATACGTTTTATCATACGATCTATGCATTTTAGACAGAACACTGAGAGTGAGAATTTTTACAGGCTAGTAGTTCAGGATAGTTTTTGAGCTGTTAGTTTTCGACAGCCCTTAATGATACGTTTATCCTGGAAATGTATATTGCAATGATGATAAAAAATATGATTTATTGTGCAGCCCTAATGCAAGATGTAGCACAATTCAGTCTTTTGACTCTTCTGAAATTTAGCAGTATAACTCAGTTTTCTGCATTGTATGTGGGTAAATCCCCATTTGCTCTCCTCTGTGCCAGGTGTCACGCACTGTTTTGCTGACCCCTGGCCTGACCTCTGCGTGTGTGTGCTGTGACTGAGCATAAGAGCATACAAACACAGCTACCCCATTCATGGCCTCCAGGCCAGCAGGTCTTAATGTCTGCCCTCTATTGCATTAGAGGCGACTCTGGAGTCGCTCCAGCCTGACGATCCGCTTGGTGCCTTAAAGCTATGCTATGTGTTGTTTTTGTTAAGGGGAAATTCCTGGTTACATTTAAGTCATTCAGAGTGGTTTGGTGTGAAATGCTTCATTCTAGAAAAACCTACTGAGTCAGAATTGTTCATAGTGGTGGTGATAGGAACCAGACGTCCACCTCTAAAAGCTCCCTCACAGAAAGATATGATCTGAAATGGTTATGAATTCACTGATTCTGAGACGCTGTTTAACAATTTGAAGATTTTGACTTGCAACATATTTTTAAAATTCATTCATGGTAGAGAGGTACATGTGGAGTGTTACAAGTTAAAGTAGTACCTAAAACTTATTTTTGCCCCAAATTTTCCATTATTTTACCATCATCGCTAATCACCAAACTCAGAAGACACGTGTTGGTTCACTGATAGTTTTGGATAGTAGATAAAACAGCTATATTTGTGTTGTAGTCATAGCGACTCCTGGTTTGAAGCGTCTGCGTTTTTCTCCTGTGAACCATTTCACATCAAAACAACTTTGACTGACTTTGTTTACATCTCAACGAATGATTTATGCAGATCATTTGAAAAATCAGTGGAATTCTCCTTTAAAAATTAAGTAGCATTACCAAGTCAGGGAGAAATGTTTGCTAACACATGGCGTCCGTGCGTTGATGCAAGTCACCCTGTAGAGTCTAAACTATTCATTCGAAAGGTGGAGCTGTTGGTTCGGATTTAGTAGATCTTTAGCAGATACTGTCATACATCTTCATGGACTGACCTCACAAGCTTGAGCTCAGAAGGTCTGACCTGATGTGCTAGACACCCACAGGGTAACCTAGGTCCTTAAAGACTTCTTAAGAGGATTTAACATTTATCTCACTTTAAATTTGGATTAAATTTATCTGCAGTTTCTTACAATAATTGTTACATATTTAACTGCTTGTAGAGGTAGTTACTGCCCACGTGAAGTGGCCATCTGTGTTGCCAACTGCATTAATTCTCTGGCTCCAATGGTCTAAAGTTGTGTTACAACTGGTATTAAGATGGCATAAATAGGACTTAAACCTGAACTTACACTCTGCTAAAGTAGTGGTAGCGTAGTTTACAGTGCTGGTATAAAGGACAGTGTAGTGACAGCATAGTGGATAACACCATCACATAAGACTGAAAGTTCACGCAGAAACGGCACTGCTGTGCCAATAAGAGTCCTGTGTTTACCTGAAAACAGCCATGCATCGGTGAGATCCTGCTGGTGTGGGTTTCCTCTCTTTCAGTGATGCACACAAAAGTGCTTTACATGCTGATACCTCCCCATTGTGGAAAATGTTCAGACTGCTGAATGTGGCTTTATAATGAGCTACGTATTCTCTGTCTGTCAGTCACACTGCAAAATAATCACTAAGCTGATTTATCAGAAATGTTAATTTTTTTATGGAGACTGTCAGTTTTCCAGTTTTCTTCTTTTAGTTCGTTATCTATCTTTTTGTGCATGTAAACGGTCTGC